GAAGCAAGCACGTGTTAGGTGGTCATGGAGCTGTGGTAGTCCCAAATGTGGGTCCAACTGAAGCCTAGGGGAACGTGATCTGTCAAAGTATTGTGGTTTCTGGCACCCTGCAGGTCTGCTCCTTGGGAGTGAATTATTTCAGTTGATAAGGGTCTGGCCATTTCTGGGTAGACCTAAAATGCAGTTTTAAGACTGGGAGGCTGAAGGAGAGAGCAGGGATGGCTCCCATGTTCCTGTGGTCCTCTTTGCGGGGTGCAGGCACAGCCGCTGGGGGCTCCCATGCTTGATGTGGTTCCTGCAGTACCCACACAGCAGGCTCCTCGTGGAGCAGGGGGTGAGAGTCTGAGAGTCTCTGGGCACAGGGGTGGATCCTTCCGGGATGCCTGGAGGCCTGCCCCGCTGGCTCTGGGGACCTTGCAGGCTCCTTTCTGGACTTTAGGCTTTCGTTCCATCCTGCAGCTCTTGCCTTGAACAGGAAACTGACGTCGCTCAGCTACTGTCAGCCTCTTAGCCTGTGCTCCCTTTTGCTTTTTTAATTTTAAAAAAATTTTCGAAGATTATTTATTTATTTGACAGAGAGATAGCACAATTAGGCAGAGCAGCAGGCAGAAGGAGAGGGGGAAGCAGGCTCTTTGCTAAGCAGGGAGCCCGATGTGGGGCTCGATCCCAGGACCCTGAGATCATGGCCTGAGCCGAAGGCAGTTGCTTACCGACAGAGCCACCCAGGTGCCCCTCTTCTCTTTTAACCAACAAAAATCTTAGGCTGAAATTTGAAAACTATTCATGCCAAAGGAAAGAATTAATCAGGGTTTGCTTTTTTAAACTACAAATGCTCCCCTGCCAGGATTCTGACATCCTCCGTGCCTGCTCAGGGACTGGCTTGGCCCTTCCATCGGCACTCAGCCCTTCTGAAGGAGCTCTGTTCTTGCCAGAGATCTTGGTTCGAGTCAGTACACATGACAGAGATCGCCTGGTTGCCTTGAACTGTGCTCCCTGTAGCTTTGTTCCTTACAACAGCCCTAGCATCGGCCCTTCTCATGGGGTGGAGCACATACTTGTGTCACTGGAGCTCCTCCTGCATCTGAAAATCTCATGAATTGCTTTAGGAGAGCAGAAGCATGCTTCTTCCAGTTAATATTTCATCTATTCTCATTTTTCAAAGAGGGGCTTCCAGTCATAGAACCTAAGCTCCAAGAAGTCAGGGGTTTGGGTCCGATCAGGTCCCTGCTGCATCTCTGGTTTCTAGAACCATATCTGGCACCCAGAACATTTGTGGAATGAAGAACAGCATAAAAACACACTCGTAGGCAAAGCAGCTGTGTAAGTTGCCAGAAAGTTGGGCATTATGTTTAAAAAATGGCCATTTTTGGTGCTTCATCAGTGTACCTAATGAAAAGATCTGATTCCTTCTGATATCTAAACTGTTCCATAGAAATACGCCTCATGCTGTTTTCATGTTGCTGTGCATACATACGCCCTGTCCAGGTGCCAGGTGCCCCCCATTACACAGAGCCCCGGTGTCACGGCCTCACCTTTACAGCCCAGCTCATCCGGTGTGCTTGCTGCTGGCCGTGTTTATGAAATACAGGAGATCAAATCCTTCAAGTGTGAAGTGTATGTAGCGTTCTCATTACTCTGTTTTTTAAAAAAGTGAGTTATCAAATCTGTTGAAATAGAATAAATCAGCTAGAACATTCTTGGATTAAAGAAAAGCGGTACTAATGGATGTATTTGCTATGCATTCCAATACTATTAATCCTGATGAGTTCAGCCTGGATTAATGTATGGCATGCTTTTCTTCAGGACCTCTGAGTTGGGCATTAACTGCTTATATACCAGGACAGGAAAGTGTGAGCAGAGTTTTGTGACATGAGCTTGGATCCAGTGTGGCCATGTTCACTTGACTGGACAGCCCAGAAAGCAGCAGTTCTCAAACCGCTTGGTCTTGGAACCCCCTTGTGCTCTGTCATTACAGACTATGGAGGACTTGAAGGAGCTTTGCTTATGTGGGTTGTATGTATAAATGTTTATCATGTTACAAATTAGAATTTAGAACAACTTCAAGTGTTTATATACTAATCCATCTAAAAATAACAACAATAAATCATTTTATTGTTAGCATAACATTTTTATGGAAAATATCTAGTTTCCAGAACAACAACAAAAGAAAATTAGTAAGAGTAGCGTTGTTTTATATACTTACCAATCTCTTTAATGTTCAGCTTAATTGAAGACAACTTGATTCTTATGTCTGATTATGCATCAGTCGGTTTTGATGTGTTGTTTTAGTTGTAATATATAAAGAAAATGTGACCTTGGATAGGTACTTGGAAAAGGAAGAGGACTTCGGGAGTCTTTATGGACAATTATGGGTATTCTTTTTTGATACTGCACGAAAACTTGAAAGGAGATAGTTGGTTCCACAGTAGAATCTGAAACCATATTGACAGGCTTTTTTTTTTTTTTTTTTTTACTGGAAAATGGATCTGTTTTATACTTAAAAAAAAAAATCCATTTTCTCCTTTGAATCAGTCATTTGTCCATGTATGATTTTGTTTCAGTGAATTACTGTCTTAATGAATTATACAGATCTTCCAGAGGTGGACAGATTTTATCATGTAATTGTTTTCTAAAAATCACATTTGTTAGTATCACCACCAGTATCATCAGAAAACTCTCTAAGTTTTGAGAAACTTTCAAGTTCTGGGTGACGGATGCAAGTTTCCCAAAATTTTAAGTTGTTTGTTTGTTTGTTTGAAAGCTCAAATTTATCAATGGCAACCAACATTATCGGTTGTTTTTCTTCTAGATTCTGCTCCTTTTATTCCAGATAGAGATCCGATCATGGCTCTTGGCTCTCTCCCTTCCCCGGAGAACAAAGTGTAGTTTTCTTGGCTTGGCCACAAGGGCGTGGATGACTTTGCCCCCATCTCCCAGCGCTTTGACAGTTTCCAGCCTTGTTTCCAGCCTCCACAGTTTTTTGTTTTGTTTTCTCATTCACTTAAAACCATACACATTTATTGTCTTCCAGTTCTGGATGGAGATCAGAAGTCCGAAATAGGTCTCAGCAGGCTCAGGTCCGGGTGTTGGCAGGGATGTGCTCCATTCCTAAGACTCTGGAGAGAATCTGGCTCCTCGTCCTTCCCAGCTTACAGAGGCTGCCTGCCTACCTTGACTCCTGGTCCCCTGACACGTTCAGAACCAGGATGGCTGACGGGGTCTCTCACATTGCATCCCTCTGACACTGACTCTCCTGCTTTCTCTTCTATCTTGTAGGGACCCTCACTGATTCTATCAGAAAATCTTCCTATCTCAAGGTCAGCTGATTAGCATGTTTATTCCTCTTACAACCTTAATTCCTCCTTGCCATGTAACCTAACATAGTCACAAGTTCCTGGATTTGGGATTTGGATTTTTGAGGGGGTGGGCAGTATTCTTCTTGCTGTCACATTCAAGCCACTCTGTTTTTACATTCAGCTCCTGCTCTGTATGTGTTGGCTAGACTCATCTTCTAAACATTACGTCATCGCATAAGCCTCTTCTCAACTCTCCAGGTGGAGCCCGCGGAGGTAGAGACCCCCATGTGAGCCACACCATCTTGGTGCCCTTGTCGCGGAAATGCATCTGTATGTCGGTCTCCCCTGCTGGACCGTGGCCCTCTCAGGACCCTTGTGGAGCTTGGCGCATGAGAGGGAACAAGCAGTGTGTTGTTTGTTCTGGGCTGTGTTTGAGATGCTACCGAATGAATATCAGTTTCTTGGTATGATAATAGTCCTTTGAGGGACTACACTTCCGTAGGAGAGTGCTGTTCTCTGGAGTTACCAAAGTGCTTAGAGGTCAAGTGTCATGGTAGCTATCATAGCTCACTCTCAAGTGGCTTCTGAGAACAGTTTATATTTATATAAAGATAAAGCAGATAATGGTAAATGTTAAATATTGGTAAATGTAGGTGAAGACTCTGTAAATGTTCATTTAACTTTTCTGAGGCTTTGGACGTTTTCAGAACAGAAGGGGAGGAGAATGGAGTATTGATGTGGAATGAGTGCGGGTGAGGATGGAGTCGGATTTCGGTTGTGGGAGATCCGTGTGCTGCTGCCGAGGTTCTGGAACTCTCCGCGTTGGTTCGCATCTTCGTGGGCCTCTTTGGCATACTGATAATCCTCTCTGGGTTCACAGTGGTGCAGATTGTATTCAGGAGGCTTCATTAGACGCCTCCAGCTCCTGGGCAAGCACATGAGTGTGCGAAGTAGAAATGGTAAGATGGAGGAAATGAAGGACTATGTGCTGCTCCTCAACGAGCCTCTTCCTAGGATGCCCCCCGCGAAGGTGACTGGTCCCACTTGCAGACAGTGGCGACTGCAATCACTCGATCGCATTTGTTGTGGGACTGTAGGGCACTCCCCCAGCTCATCACGAGAGCGCACATCCTATGTTTAGAGCATCCCAGTCCATCCTGATGTCTGCCGAGCAGGGCTACACTTGAGCCCACTGGGCTGCTGCTCTGGGAGAGTCTGCTGCAAAATGCCATTCACGGATGGTGTCCCCCTGTTTCCTGAAGGACCCAGCTGAGGCTGTCTGCCTCTGCTGGTCTCAGTGCTCAATGCCATGTTCAGAGGGGGGATTCACTCCCCTCACAGCTCCTGGCGAGGGCCTCAGAGCTTGTACTCACCTGCCCCTTTGTCCTAGATCTGTGGAGGTGGCCTGTCTGGGTGATGCTTTGATACCATCCTTGTTTGAGATAGGATCATCACTGATGGAGGTCACGTGGTAGGATCGCTGGTTTGGAAGCCACCTTGTCCAGTTTCCTGTCTTGTTACCCACCCAGTGGTGCTTCGCTCCGACCCTCACCTTCCCAGCCACCATGCCATTCATCTTTGTAAGGTGGGATGTCCTTCCTGTTGCTGAGCAGGATGGAGTCATCCCTCATTGTCGCAGCCAAAGGTGTGGCGGTTCTGGGAACCAACCTGATGGGGCCTAAATGACTCTTCTTTGCTTTCCAGGAGCAAGAAGCTCCCATCTCATCCCTCCTGAGACGTCTTTGCTCCAGAAACCAGGTGATCCTCAGGTGACGAGGTGACGAGTTCTTACATCCTATTTCAGGTACAGTCTGCCCATCTGCACCCCAGCAGGACGGTCTCTTGGGTGCTAGAATATATTGTCCATTTCGTCCTTCTGTTGGCTGTTGACTTTATAGGTTAAGGGACAGCTACACTCTATGTCATCATCTTTTAAAGTTTATGACTACTCTGCCTTTTCAGAGTCCTCTAGGTCTTCAGGCCCATCCACTCAACAGAAGACAGATGTTTCTCCTCGCTTTCATGGTTTTATTGAATTCCTACATTTCCTTCAAACAGAACTCGAAATACCCTGCTGATGGCAAGGCTTCTGAGCAGAGGCCACTGAGGCGTGCTGTGGAGAGATCTGCCAGAGCCTGCCCCTCCATCCTGGTGTAGATGCTGGTGTGCGGCGTGGTGTGTGGGACTTGGTGGGACCTGCTCTGGGCCAGGGCCCCTGTGCAGCAGTCCTGATGCACTGTGCTGTGGTCCTGCCTTTAACTCTTGGAGCCTTTGCTTCGCAAGGTCAAGGGCTGGCTCCAGTTGCCTTCCTGCTCTCAAGATTTTCCTCTTGCTTCTACCCCCTCATTCCTCAGATTTTCCCTCTTTTACTTAGGGATCTTCCTGTAGCTTGTTCTTGGGTTCAGGTGCTATAGTGATCTGCCATAGGTCAGTGTATTTCGGGCGGGTCCTTGGAGCCCCAGGGTCCTGAGGGAGCCAAGGAGCCAGGCAGGGAGGGTGGGGGAAGGTCAGGGCTAGCCACTGGGGTGCAGTGTCTCCTGCCTGTCTGTGTCAGAGTGGTTCCAGTTTTATCTGATTCTCACAGTTGGGTTCAGCAGAGGAGGTGGTTTGGGAAAGAAGGGTTTTTCTATTAAAATAGTTAAAAGCTATCGCTCCGGTTATTTTTTGATAGAAGTAACAAGTTCACCAAGTATGGGCACTTCATTGTTATTGTCACTATTTTGTGTATTAAAAAAAATGGAGGTAAAGTTTTTTCAGGCATGTGTGTTTATAAAAGAACCTCACCTGATGCTTCTCTCTCTGTCTCACATTCTTACAATCCTTTGAGCCATTCAGACTCTTAATTCCAAATATAGCTCTATCAAGAATGCACCTATAATCAAGGTCATCTTTCATCAGAGGGACTTTGCAGGGGATATGGCCAATGACCTTTGCCACAGGGAAGCATCTTCAAAGCAGGTGGTCTTGAAATTAGGAGGGGTCCCCATGGCTTCTATGTCCTTGGGAGACTCCCTGCTTGTTAATGAGGCTATTGCAACTGGTCAATGTCAGAACAAAGGTGTAGGTTACCAGGTGCACTTTTGCGAAGACAATCAGGAAAGCTGGATCCTTGCCAGCAGGGTCATGGGAGGCTATCCGGCGTTGTGCCAGAAGCCACTGTGGACCTCGGATGTCCTTTTCTTTCCTTCTCCTTTCAGGTCTTATTTAGTAAAAGTGCTTAGAGTGAGTTCATTCTGTACTCTTCCTCGTCTTCCTGCGATAGGCAGATGTGTCTGTGCTGTCTTAACAGACTATTTTAGAACCACCTCTTCCTGTTACCCAATACCAGAGCTTGGCCTGTGTGTGGGGGGTTGGTGCTGAGTGTTTCTTGGGGTGAAAAGTCTACATCAGATCTGTTTCTCGGATCAGGACACTGTGACAGAATGTGTGGGGAAGCCATCCTTGGTTCTCAGGCCCTTGGGCATGTGTCGTGAACTGCACCTAAATCAGGGGAATTCACAACCTACTAGAAACCACCAGGAGGTAGGCCCTTCTTGAGTGAAGAGAGTCCTACCAGGTGCCAGATGGTGACAGAGGGGGTACGCCCCCTGGAGGCTTTTTGGTCTCTGCCACACTGGTTTGTGCTCCTTGGTTCATCATAACCGTCTTCCTGCCCAGAGGGCAGGCCACCAGGTCGCTTGGTTCCCTTCCCTGGTGTTTCCTCAGCACCTAGAAGGGCGGGGAGGCATAGAGTAGGCCTAAGGCAAATATTTGCTGGATGGTTAGATGGTTGCTTTAGTCTTCCTTCCCAGACTGTGTGCAGTCTGAGCCCAGGGCCAGTGCATTTCTTACCTTTGTTTCTCCTATAACTCCCAGCTCCCAGGAGAGTGGCCCGGGGCAGTCACGCCATTCTGTCAAAAATGACACAATAGTCACTTAATGCATGCCATTTTTCCAGAGGAGGAAATGGCTTTCAGATCACTTAGACTTCAAGAAAAAATAGTTGCAGGTCAAGGAAACGTCAACTCCACCATTAAAACAGAGAAAGTTAAAGAAATGTTGGGCTCTGGTTTTTAGCTTCTTGAAGATTTAAAGAGAGAACGGATGCGGACTCATTCTCTGCCTCATGACTGGACCACGGGAGGATAACAAACCACCAACCCGGAGGCCTGAAACAACACCCATCTGTTGTTTCATTGTTCCTGTGGTCAGAAGTCAGGGCACGGCTTGGCTCACAAGCCTGGAGTCAAGGTGTTGACTATGGTTTGGTTTTTATTTGGAGGCGTGGCTGGGGTAGAAGCTGCTTCTAAGCTCCCTCAGGTTGTTGGGCAAATCCATGTCCTCAAGGTTGTAGGACCCCAGAGTCCTGGCCTTTTGCTGGCTGACATTCATGGCCATGTGGCTTTTCCAAGTGTGTCTCCTTGGTTCAGTAATCTGGCAAGGAGAGGCTGCTAGCAAGATGGAGCCTGATGTCATGTCACATAATCTCCGAGTGATATCAGCACCGTTGCCACGTTCTGCTGACTAAAAGCAAGTCCCAGTTCCCCCACACACTCAGGGAAGCACCAGGAGTGGATCGTGGGGCCACCTTAAGAGATCGCCGACCACAGATCACCTTTACTTGCTCCTTGAAAAGTGACTGCCATCCACTGTCCATTTTTATGGAAAGTTATTTTAAAATGCTCCTTTGTTTTCTCCAAAATGACCCATGATTTAAATCCTTTAAAGGATCACAACTCTATAGGATCCATTCATTCTTCTAACCCACTCGGATGTCCTCTGTGCTGTCCTGACCCTGCTGTGTGGGTGGGGGTTGCCCCCATAGCGCTCCACTCCACAGCAGGAATGTCAGGTGAAGTTGCTGTTTGTGGAACCTGGCTTTGGATTCCACAGTCCAAGCTGGTCTGGAACCCGGCTGCAGTTTGTCACAATGTTTGTGTAGGGAAATGTGGTCCTGAGTCTCAAGTGTGACTGACTGGCTGTGAATTTTAAAAGGCAAGACGCCTTCCCCCAAATTTTTTTTCTGTGGCAGTGTCTATGTAGACAGTGTTATTTGGGGCCTAAGTTGTGATGTCTGTGGATTACCCTCTAAAAATTCCTTAAAAATAACATGAGTCTGTGCTGTGTCTCCTCATTCTCTGGAGATGTGGACCCTGATTGTTATAAAGCAGTCACCAAAGAACGGAGAATTTCATGAAGGGCAGTCTGAATGATTGACTATTGTTACATGGAGAGGCTGTGGGGTCACATTCAGGTAGCATTCCGTAGGGGACAGGGTGATCAGATTGCCCTGGAGTCTTCTGTGAAACACAGCAGGTGGTGCTGCCTGGGATAGAGGCTGCATCGGTGCTCCATTCCGCACGCGGCAGGAGCCCCCGCACACAGAATTCTGCTCTCTTGTCTGGTGCAAGGAGCGACACTTGTCCAACTTCCTGGGCTGCCTTGTCCACCTGATGGCAGCCTGACCCGCTGGCAGTCCTCCGCCAGCATTTGGTGGTTTGCTCCAGCATTTTGTGGTGCACAGAACTCTGTGGAACTGGCCATTTGCTTCCGGGGCCTCAGAGTCATTTCTCGCCCAGAGAACGGAGACCATTCTGGCCCCACATACTGGGGATTTCCTCCCAGTATATTCCGGAAGGTAGATGAGTGCAGCAGGTCATTGCCAGACTTCAGCAGGGAAGGTGGCCGGCCGCACAAGGAGGCTGTGACGTCTCTTTCAACATTTACATGCTTTTCTTTTTGGGATGAGGGCTTGCGATTTTGGCTACTGGTAAAGTGTCATTACAGGAAGACCAACCATAAAATGCGGCATTTCCTGCTGAGGGGTTATTCGTGTATGACATATGCCACATAGATAATTCCCATGGTAACTGTGGGTGTGTGGAGTCTGTGTATCTCCGGGCTCTTTGAGGAGAAAGCCCAGACAGGGAGCAAATGGCAGGTGAATGTGAAAGATTAGAGCCTTTGCTTGTGCAAAAGTGCTTTATTAGTCGGATTAAAATATCGTGCTCAAAGGCAAACATAATTGATTTGCTCCCCAGAGAAAGAAGGCTGAGCCACGAGCAGTCAGCTGTCCCGGTGCTGTTTCCCTCTCCACTCTGTCCTTCATGACAAGACCAGAGCAATCCTTCCAAGAGAAGTTTTTCGAGATGGTCTTCCTTTGCTTAAAAATTTCACATCTGAGTGTCAGTTTCTCAGCTGGCCATTCAAGACTCTGGTAAATGGACGGTCCTGCCCCACCCGCCTGTCCACTATGGTCACGCCACTTCACCTGGGTCGTCTGATGTGTGTCACAAGCAGTTCAGTGTGCCTTTGCCTTCCCTCCCTGGTCACCTCAGCAGTGACATGTAACCCACAAGACGAACTTGCGTCCCTCATGGGTACACAGAACATGCACAAAAACACACATGCCTACGAGTGTCTCTCTTTCAGCCACTACAAGCTCTGAAGAACCTCCGAATCACTCCTTTTTTTTCCCCCTTAAATCTCTTCTTTGGAACCCATGTTGCCTTTTCTGGTTTCAGTCTGCTTCCCCAAATTTGATACAGACTTAGGCTCAGAGGATGTGTAGGAATAAGGCTGGTAAGAGGTACGACCAGGTCTGCCTATGACGAATCCTTTACTCGTGGCTATTTCTCTAGGTTAAAAAAAATAGCTGAATATTGATAATTTCATATGGTTCAACCTAATCCTGTGTTAAAGACTATTTAATTAAACTCCATGGCTTATAGCACTGGGGGACTCTTCCCGTCCTGGAGGTAGGGGTTGATAAAGGTTGTGGAAGAATTTCTTCTTTGTTTTCTGGGTCAGCCCTGAGTGGGTTCC